CATCATTGTGTGACTACATGCAGTTTGTACTGTGTTGAAAGTGATGCATAAATGTTAGTAGGTCTGACCCAGTAAGATTATGGTCATCGTTTTTATGGAACAGGAACCAGGCTGACACCAGGTCCTGTTCATGAAGTGGTGGTCATATCTGAAACGCTATAAAGGTTTATTATCTGCACTTTAAACTCCACAGCTTCCTTCACTGCTTTTCACAGTGTTTAAAAACGTTGAAATCAACAGTTTCCCAACTGTTAAAGACTGCTGTTATTGGGTTCATTGACTGGACTGCTGCTTTTTTTCTGTTCCTGTCAAAGGAACAGTGATCAATATTGGCACTTCCTCCTCTGCCTAACATTGCAAGACTTTGGTTTGTCAGTGTGTATCCTCTGTTTTTAGTTAAGGAAGATGTTATTGACTTGATTAAAAAACTACATTTAGTCACAGTGTAATGGGATTTCTAGATGAAAAAGTATTAATTAAAAGAAGTGTGAAGCAGGTGCACCATGCTGCAGTCTGTGCCTGTTTATGAGGTTTTCACTTGGCTTTGCTGCTCACTCACCATTTTTTTTCCCTGTCATGTGTTTTGTGCTTTTCCACAGGTCTCCAATTGAAAATCAACATGGCACTGTTTCCTGCACTCTTCCACCCCGTCGCCAGGCTCGTCCTCCTTTATTTTGGCAGGAACCAGGCTGGCTACCGTAGGCTGCAATAGAACATAACAGTGACTACCAAGGATGACAGAAAATCGCCAAGCAAGTGCCAACTCAAAAAAGAAAGAAAAAACAAACAAACAGAAACAGCCCAGAAGATGATAAAACATTTTTTTTTTCCAAGTCTATGAACTGCTTCAACATTCAGGAAGATATTGTAAAGACATGTATATAGCACAGACTAAACCGGATAATATATACGCTCCCTTTCCATCCATCGAGACATTTAGACCAAATGAATAGTGCTGGTTCGGATAGATTTATTTTTGTCCCCGTTTTCCTTCTTTCAGCTCCAGCATGCATGTTAGTTTTCTTTAGCTTGTTTTCACAGGAGGTCTTAAGTAGAATCATCACAGTGCTGTTGGAGGAATGTCACCTGTGAAGAGCTTGGCTGATCGGAGTGAGAAGTGACCGAGGATTACCACCATATTAGAATGCACCGCTGTTCTCACGGGGGTCTTTAACGCTCAGAACTGAACATCACGTGTACCTGAATGATTTGTTTTGTTTTGTTTTGTCTTACCATCCTGCTCAGTTGACTTAAGAAAGAAACGGACCCCTTAATTTTTTGTGCATGCTAAATTTTGTTTCTCTCTCTCTCTTTTTTTTTTTTTTTTTCAAAAGTGCCTCCTAATAAAATGCTTGGCCACTTCACCCTGCATTGAACAAGTGTTAAAAAAAATGTTGACAAAAATATGGAGAAATTGTGAAACCCACATATAGTATGAATTTACTGAATAGCCAGCACACAGGGAATCTGTATAATTAGGGTAACAATTTGGTGTAGCAATAACTCCCCTAGTATGAAGTGTACACATGTTAATTTTTGATATCCTGATACAGTTTGAGGTCCTCCTCTCCAATATTCTTTTATTTTAGCAGCAGCGCCTCTTTCCTTGTCTGTGTTGTCCTCGGTAGGAATTGTTATGCATGCTTTATCTTACTTTTTTTTTTTTGGTTTGTTTTTTTTTGTTCTTTTTGCCGAATGTCTTTGGGTTTCCTTTGGCGAATGTTCGAGTGTTTGTGTATACAGTATGTGTGCCCGTTTTGTTTCGTCGCTCTTTTCCCCCGTCATCCACGATCTCATGATTATTCTGCTCACTGAACTATTGCAGTTTTGCCTAATGTACAAAGACAAAATACTGATGTATATTTTTCATGTTATGAAACCTGTCACCTGTAGTGAGTTCTTCTAAAATATGACTTTTTTTCAATATTTACTCGTGTATTTAATTCAGGTTTGCTTTGGTGTCGGGACAACGGACTCCTTTTTATCAACACGAGGAGTTTTCATCGTTCAAACATTTATTTTTAGAATGATGGTTTTAATTTAAGTTTTAATTTACAATATTTGAAACGACTCAAAACAAAAGAATAATGGAGACATATAGACACCTAATAAGAAAGATTTCCTGAGTTTAAACTCACATGTTTCGTCAGCAAGGTCACTCTTCAAATCATATGTTTTGGTCCGATATTTGTTATGTGAGTAGTTTATGATGGGTTCAGGTGCTCAGTGCTGTTGATGACAAGCCAAGCAGCCTATTGGTGGAATAATCGGAGCTACTTAAGCAGGTGAACTGTGTACAAAACATGGTTTTAGTCGAGTGTGTGAACAGTTTGTCCGGTCTTACCTCCTACTGAGAACACTGTCAACTAGAAAACCTTTACAATCTTAACTGGCACACACAACAAATTACATGATTTTCTTTTTTCTCCCTTTTTAAATTCACTATCTGCTCGAGTAAATTATATTTAGTATTCCGACATAAACCGAATGAAAATGTGATTTTATTAATATAGAAAGGCAAAATACTTTTATTCTAACATCACTAATAAAAACACCAATACAGATGGAGTAAGAGAGGGCACAGATTGGTGGATAACAATTATCCAGAAGTGTTTGACACTCATCATTGTCTGGAGCAGATCTTCTTACTTACCCACCAGTGTTCAAACAAACTCACCCAAAATTAGGAGCATGCATTCATCAAACTAATGTGTCCCTACCAGTGTGGGAGAAGACCGGTGTTTATCTGAGGAAACATTTGTTTTCATACAAATTCATATAATCTAGAAATTAATTCAGCTTTGGATCATTTGATTAACTTTATGCTCAACATGTGCAACTTGTTATAAAAACTATCCCAGAATGTACTCTGCTCCTACATATTTATACATCTGTGTGTTGTTAACCTATTGCACAGCAAGCAGCTGCGTTATGTAGGTATTCTTTTACTTAATAGTAACAGTCATGTGACAAACTAACGTGTTTTTGTGAATCACTTGAACGCAGCACCGCTGCTTACTATGAGCCGCTACATCATATCGCGATAGACACCATCAGGCCACGGAGCTAACGCTGAGCAACATGGCGGAAGGTATGAGATTGATTTTTGCGGAGTATTTGACACACTCCCTTTCGTCCCAGTGTGCTTATTTAACCGACGGGCTGAATCAGCTAGTGTCTCGGCAGTTTAGTGAACCGTGCGACGTGTGTGGTTGAGAATAGGAAGCAGGGCGACACTCTTCTTGTCACACTCCTGTGCCCAGTGAGCAGGCTGTGGCGTTAGCTCTCGGTGATGTTGCTAGCTCAATTTAATAGCTACGAGTTAGCCCAACCGGCCAGGAAAAAAAATGTTGGTGGGGTGGACTGCGCAGAAATACAATGTGTTTTTAGGGAGAGTGGTGATAGAGGGAAAAAAACGCTTGTGAATTTGCACAATTTGCAGGTAATGTAGGTACTGAGGGTTCGCTAAATGTCAGCGTCATGCATCGTATCAAACTAACGTTACATGATCCAGTTGAGTGACAGTTAACGATCCTTCAGCTGTTTGGTTCATGGAGGGACTGTGAACATGGTCGGTTCGTAGGTCTGTTAAACAAAAGGATAATCACACAACAGGGGACTTGGCAGGACAGAGTGAGTGTCAGTCTGTCAGGTATCATCTGCTCTACCTGGCTGAAGTGCCATGGCCAAGGGCAACACCTATATTTGGCCGAGACATAAGAGCACGTCTGGTGTGTGTGTGTGTGTGTGTGTGTGTGTGTTCCTCCTTAAGGGAAATCTGCTTACCAACTTGAATCCAGAGAACAAACACTCCAGTCTGTGGTGTTGGAGCTGCTTCACTGCTGCTGAAATCATGTCTCCTGACATATTAAATGAGTGTTTGATCCCTTGGATGTGCTTAATTTGCATTGCAACAAAATGCATGCATCTTTCTTTAAATTTCCCTTTGCAGTGTGTGCATCTGTAGTCAGTGGCACAGTTTCAGACTTGTTTATTGTATTTCCAAATGCTAGGTGTCATTAGTGAGTGCTGAGCAGTGTCTGCAAGATACTACAGCAAGTTCACAAGTCCTGGCAAAACAGAGGATGTGAGCACATTGTTGTCAAGGGTTTGTCTTTGGATTAACATTCCCAAGCTGGAGATGACTAACTGCTTTGCACATGCATTGCTCATCCCTGCTGCACTTGGCAAATTGATAGTGGATTTATGACATATTGTATAAGTTTGACCAGTGGCTGGTCAGTTGGTCTGGAGCTGCCTCAGCATACCACCCTTCCTGTCTTGAGCCGATCAGGTGGTTTTGAGAAACACCGCCTTTCTGTACCTCATGACCAGCAGCTCTGCCAGTAACGGTTTACGAGGGAGGACAAACTAACGTGCTGTCTCAGCATTCCTTCTTCACTAAAACTTCACTCGCTTAAAAGGAAGGAAATGGGCCTCATTGAAACTCTGTGGACTCTTGGCTGAGACATGAATCGGTGTTGTAATATGAGGATCTGTAGGAAGTGTATTTCACAAGTAGTACCAGGGAAAAGTGTGGCCGAACTACCCTAATGAGATCTCACTGAAGTCGGTTATTATGATCTGCAAATTAGGTCCTTGTACTTGGATTACAGAGAACTTGCACACGGGAACTTGCTTTTAACAAGTAATAAGAGACTGTAATAAAACGTTATCATGGCCCAAGTCACATTTCTCAAAGGTTTAAGGCTGTATTTGCATATTCAGCTAACAGCCTTTACATCACTGCCATATACATGATCTCTAGACAGTGGTGATGTTATTGTAAAACCACATAACGGAAAATAAATTAGAATCACTTTAGTCCCAGATAATAGCTCCTAAAAGGTATTGTACTTTGGATCAGCTCCTGTGCAGGTGAAAGGTGCTTCAAAGACTGTAGGTCTAACCTGTGTTTACAAATAGGTTTTTCTAACCTATTTTCTGTCCCCCTGCATCTTGTTTTGTCCTCTGTCTGTCTTTTACCTTGATGTGGGACAGAGGAGGTGGCCAAGCTGCAGAAGCACCTGGCCCTGCTCAGGCAGGAGTATGTGAAGATGCAGCAGAAGCTGGCCGACACAGAGAGGCGCTGTGCCGTGCTCGCTGCTCAGGCCTCTGGACAGGGCTCCTCCAGCCCCGCAGCTGCAGACACCTTCATCAGCCGTCTGCTGGACATCGTTTCCGACCTCTATCAGCAGGAGCAGTACAGGTGAGGATCGTGGTCAGAGTGGATGCATTTTGTTTTTCCAATCCATGAGCTCACAGATTTTATTCTGTCGTCATGTTTTGCTTTTTTGTGTTGATGCAATCCCCTCTACTGCAACACTGATGCAGCTGACGAGCCTTAAACAAGCGTTAAAAGCAAAACATTCATACTTGGACACAATGATTTAACTGCTTCTCAGGAATGAATGTGTTGGTTTTGCAGTGATCTGAAGGTGAAAGTGGCAGGGGAACAGCTTAATGCCCACAAGTTTGTGCTAGCTGCTCGCAGTGATGTCTGGAGTCTGGCCAACCTGGCTTCCACCTCTGAACTGGACCTAACTGGTAAGCAACCCTGCTGTCTTTAAGGTGTCGCTTCGATCACAGTGAAAGTCCAGTTGGTTCCCACTCACCCCTCCGTTAGTCGACATGATTATGGGTTAATAGACCATGAAGCAATATTTATTTTGAGTGTATTACGCAAACTGTCAAAGTCCAGTATTGTATACAGTGTCTCCCTGGAGAGGTTTTGGCCCCTTAGGCCTATTATTTAATATAGACGTGACCACATGATTGTGATGAATGAAAGTAGCCCTGAACAAACATTTTCACAGAAAAAAAACAGAAATTTTTCAAAATAAAAATGAAAATGTATTTATTTTTTGAATATATTTTTTTTCATATTTTTCTAAGGTTTGTAATTGATCAGTGACTAATTTTATAATTTGATTGGTTCTCAGATTGCAAACCTGAGGTTGCCATGGCAATGTTGCGCTGGGCTTACACAGATGAGTTGGAACTCAGTGAGGACGATGCCTTTCTTATCGACCTAATGAAGCTGGCCAACCGCTTCCAGCTCCAGCTGCTCAGAGAAAGGTCAGCCCAATTCATACATAATGAATTTTGGTTTGCCTTAATTGTTGGTAGAAGCAGCCTTATGGCTGCGTAGCTTTTTATAGTGCAACATATGTGCTTTAATGAGATGAGAACACCTCTGCTTCTCCTCCGGGACAGGTGTGAAAAAGGAGTGATGTCCTCGGTGAATGTCAGGAACTGCATTCGCTTCTACCAAACAGCTGAGGAGCTGAACGCCTCCACCCTCATGAACTACTGCGGGGAGATCATAGCCAGTCACTGGGTGAGCACCTCAGGACAGTGTTTGTACACATCCAACTAAGCATCTTAGAAGGTGTTCCTGTGAGCATGCGTAGGATGATTGAACAGTAGCAGCAGTTTGCTTTTTTTGTTAGCTGTCTGGATGTTATAATTATCTACTCTACTTTGCATCATCACTCCTGAGGAGTCACAATAGGATTTTTTTTTTCAGAGTCTGCCAACCACAAAGTTAATTCCCTGCGTTTAATCTTTTTTTTTTTTTTTTTTTATCTTTTTTTTTTGACAGATCAGTGTTTTTTTAGTTCATGAATCTCATCTCCTTGTTTAAAAACAGTAAATCCTGATCACCAGTTGCACCAGTTGCACCAGCTTATCTTTATCAAACTGTGTAATTAATTGTTGTTGTCTGTGACCAGCTTCTGACTCCTGCTTTTTCTGTTCTATGGTGTCAAACGCTGATCACTACCTTTTAGCAAAAGCAAAGAATTTTGAGGTTTCAAGAAAAACAATCAGTGACACCTGTTGACTTCCTCCATCACTGGCCAGTTCTGATGTTTGACACTTGTTGCCTTTCACTGACTTCCTGTTTTTTTTTTTTTTTTTTTTTAGGATGATCTAAGAAAAGAAGACTTCAGCACCATGAGTGCCCAACTTCTGTACAAGATGATCAAATCTAAAACAGAGTATCCTCTCCACAAAGCCATCAAGGTTGAGCGAGAAGATGTGGTCTTTTTGTATCTCATTGAAATGGACGCGCAGGTCAGTTCTTCCACAGAAACCTGACTTTTAATCTTCACCAACGAGTTTTGCATAGCAGGGATCCCATCGTGCTGTATACAGGTTTTGTTTTTGATGTTGTTGTCGTTTATGTTTAGTTACCTGGCAAACTAAATGAACTGGACAACAACGGCGACCTGGCACTCGACCTGGCCCTTTCCCGTAAATTGGAGAGTATCGCCACCACTCTGGTAAACAACAAAGCTGATGTGGACATGGTGGACCAGAGTGGCTGGAGCCTCCTACATAAGGCCATCCAAAGAGGTCAGGGAAAGTCATTGTTCCTGTGCTTTTGGTGATACATGTGTGTTCATATTCTCACTTAAATATGTACATACTACGAGAGTCGCTTGATCCACATGTGAGATATCAACAAACCTTTTTTCAAAGCTTTTCCTTGTACTGATGGTTGTTGTTTGAACACTAGGTTTTGAGCTCAACAGGTGAGAGAAGGAAAAAAATTCCTTCTGTCACTAATCTTTCTTCTTCCTCCACCAGGTGACGAGTTTGCCTCCATCTTCCTGATTCGCCACTCTGCTCAGGTGAACGCGGCCACAGTGGGGGCAGTGGAAACCCCACTTCACTTGGTCTGTTCTTTCAGCCCCAAGAAACACTCGGTGGAGGTGATGAGCGGCATGGCACGGATCGCAGAGGCCCTGCTCAAGACCGGAGCCAACCCCAACATGCAGAACAGCAAGGGCAGGTCGGTCACATGAACTTTATGGGATTGCAAAAGCTGTTAACGACCATGCAAAGTGCAGCGGTGCTTAATTTTGCCTTTTGTTGTTTTTAGAACTCCTTTGCATGAAGCTGTGGCGTCGGGGAACGAGCCAGTGTTCAACCAGCTTCTACAGTGCAAACAGTGAGTTTTTCTTTGCTTTGAGATGGAATTAGTCAGTTTGTTTCTGACACGGAAAGTACCGCGCAGCATGCTTGATGTTCAGTTAATTAAACTCATGAGATCACAATAACTAGATAACATACTGAAGTGGATACAAATCCTTTTTATTTCCTTTTAAAAATCTTTTTTCAGCAAATCAATCCTACTGTCATCGCGAGTCACATTTTCAATTATGTCATTGTACAATACTGCAGTTAATTAAAAACATCTGAATGTCTAAATGTCTCCTGAACACAGTACAAATCTGTCCATCTTTTCAGACTTGATCTGGAGCTAAAGGACCATGAGGGCAGCACAGCTCTGTGGCTGGCACTGCAGTACATCACCATGTCTTCAGACACCTCAGTAAACCCATTTGAGGATGATGCACCTGTAGTGAATGGCACCTCGTTTGATGAGAACAGCTTTGCAGCGCAGCTCATCCAGAGAGGAAGCAATCCAGATGCACCTGACACTACCACAGGTGCTGTTTCATAACCTCTTTTTACATTTCTAAATGGCATGGTGCTTGTGCTTTAACACGTCTTTATCCTCATCTCCTGTCGTTTTGTTTCTTGCAGAAAATTGCCTCATGCAGAGAGCAGCTCGGGCAGGTAATGAGGCAGCGGCTCTGTTCCTGGCCACTCATGGGGCAAAGGTCAACCACGTTAACAAATGGGTGTGTATACACATTTGTTCAATGAGTAAAAAAGGCAGAAGTTGCCTAGTTTCACACCTCCAATGTGCAGATAGAATCTCCTTTTAACAGGTTAAAATTCTGACCTTTTTATTACAGCATTCAGGCTAATCAGTGAAATTCTTCAAAGGTCAGAACATGGTGCCAAATGCATCAGCCTTTCAGAGTTTTATCGAAATTGGGCCAGTGACATTAGTTTAGATTATTTTTAAATTTTGCAGATCGCCGTAGAAAGCAACAAATTGGTAAAAAAAACAAACTAGAGTTAAGGGTACACGTTGTACTCATTGTGTTATTGAGGATGTTCTTTATTATAGAGCTCTCTGTCTTTATACAACACATCACAGGTGTGGCACCAGTGCATCAGCAACTTGCTTTGGATTGCAATCACTCAGTTACCTACTTATAATTTAATAATAAAATGTTATTGAAATTTGTCCTGATATTCATTTATATCCTCTGAAAACCTTTGCCGTCTCTCAGGGTGAGAGCCCGCTTCATACAGGGTGTCGCTGTGGCCTGGCAAGCCTGACAGCTGAGCTGCTCCAGCAAGGGGCCAACCCCAATCTGCAAACCCAGAAGGCTCTCCCTGACGACAGCCCTGGTGTGGCTATGCAGACCCCCCTCCACATGGCCATTGCTCACAACCACCCAGATGTGGTCTCTGTCATCCTGGAGCAAAAAGGTCAGCATATGTTTAGGGAGTTGTATCCATGAATATGTCTGTAACTAAAGTGCAAACAGTTTAAACTGCTGTGTTAATCTCTGCTGAACGTCACAGCGCAAAATCTCTAATGTCCCTAAACATCCTGAAATTGATCCTTGTATTTCTTTCTTGATGGTTCTGTTGCAGCCAATGCACTTCATGCCACCAACAACTTCCAGATCATTCCAGACTTCAGTCTCAAAGACTCAATGGACCAGACAGTCCTGGGCTTGGCCCTCTGGACAGGTACGAGGCAATACACTGAGACTGAGAAAGTGTAAAACAGTTGTGTCTGCATTGTCAAAATGTTCTTGATATATGTGATGTTTACCAGATGAAATGTGTTCCTTCAGGTATGCACACCATAGCAGCTCAGCTGCTGGGCTCAGGGGCTTCTATCAACGACACTATGTCCAACGGACAAACCCTGCTTCACATGGCCATCCAAAGACAGGACAGCAAGAGTGCCCTCTTCCTTCTTGAACATCAGGCAGACATCAATGTTAGGTAATGCCGGGAATAAGTTGTAAAACATTTTAGCAGGTCAGGATTTTGAGTGGAAGGGTTTTAGATTGTTCTTGCTAGAGTTCTGTGGTTCTCTGTATCTTATCTATTTTTTTCTCCACTGCCAGGACTCAGGAGGGACAAACGGCACTGCAGCTGGCCATCAGTAACCAGCTGCCACTGGTGGTGGATGCCATTTGCACAAGAGGAGCTGATATGTCTGTGGTGGATGACAAAGGGGACCCTCCACTGTGGCTGGCTCTTGAGAATGGCCTGGAAGATATTGCATCTACACTGGTAGGCAAATGCATATGCAAACACTTTAGATGTAGAGATGTTGGTGCTCTATTAGTTGCTCTCTGACAGACTGTCAGTTGTTACACCCCCACAGTGCTTTGTCAGGTTGAGTCTTTGCTTTGGATGTGCCTGGACTCATCCACATTTCTGAGTGCATTTAGTCATTTATTCCAACGCAAAGCCCCATGTCTGATATGTATATTTGAATAATAAAATGAATTTCACCTTAAGGAATCCCATATCCAACATGGAAACACATTTACATTTACTCATGTATTATTATTTACTGAAGAATGTGTGATGTTTAGATGTCCAATATTATCCAGCATCTTGCTCAAATGTGAAACACTAGAATTGAACAAGGATTTGTTCCAAAAAAGGAAAAGAAATAAATGACTGTAAGCCAGGAGCTGCACCACACACTGGTAACACACCAGAAACGTTTTGAACTGAAGCAGTGTCCCAGGCAGTATATATGGTTCAGTTTGTTTATGGCTGGGAAACAACAATGTTTTCCTGCATTTTGACAGAGTGTGTCCTGTTTGTCCCACCCAGGTCCGCCATGGCTGTGATGCAACTTGTTGGAACATAGGGCCCTCTGGCTGCCAGCAGACGCTCCTGCACAGAGCTGTGGATGAGAATAATGAGGTTTCTGCCTGCTTCCTCATCCGCAGGTCTGCAGATTGTCCTTACTGTCGCTCCATATTTTAACCTAACCAGCGAATCTTCTGTATGTCAGCAAAACTAACTTCCTTGTCGTTGTGTGGATCCAGTTTTCATGTTTTCCATTCAATAGTATGTTATATAATATTACAGTTAAAATGTGTTACAGCAGTTGCTAAACAAATGTCCTCATGTTGATTATACATTTTCTGAGAGATTACTCAGAGTACTGCACGTTTGAACTGTCTCAAAAAAGTCTGATCAGGCAACATAGATTACAGACTTATGTTACAGTCTTCAAAGTGCTGTTGCTGACCTGTTTCAGACAGTAGAACAAGCAACCTTTCTGTCTGTAAGCTTTACATGCTAAAATAGATATAGCTAGCTGCCTTGGCTTACCGTGTGCCCTGTGTTTGTATAGTGGATGTGACGTGAACAGCCCCAGGAAGCCTGGCCCGAATGGGGAAGGAGATGAAGAAGCCCGAGATGGACAAACGCCTCTCCACCTGGCAAGCAGCTGGGGACTGGAGGAGGTGGTGCAGTGCCTTCTAGAGTTTGGAGCGAATGTTAATGCACAGGTCAGTCCCATCAGTGGGTCTGCTTTAGCCGATACCACTCTGCTCCTGCTAAGTGTTCATACGGCATTTCAGTATGTGCCGTGTTTAACTCTACATGTGTCTATTTCTGTCAGGATGCAGAGGGCAGAGCTCCCATCCACGCTGCCATTAGCAACCAGCACAACGTCATTATACAGCTACTCATTTCACATCCAGACATTCGTCTCAACCTTCGCGACCGCCAAGGAATGACCCCCTTCGCCTGTGCCATGACGCACAAGAACAATAAAGCAGCAGAGGCTATCCTCAAGAGGGAGCCAGGTGCTGCTGAACAGGTAACCCTGCCACGAATGCACCAGTTTGTCTCTGCAGCAGTAATAAAAAGAGTTTTACACTGTTAATCTCTCCTGACTTTAAATTTCTGTCTCCGTCCAGGTGGACAACAAAGGGCGTAATTTTCTCCACGTGGCTGTGCAAAATTCAGACATCGAAAGTGTCCTGTTTCTCATCAGTGTCCAAGCTAACGTCAACTCCAGGGTTCAGGATGCAGCCAAACTCACGCCTCTCCACCTGGCTGTCCAGGCTGGATCTGAGATCATCGTCCGCAATCTGGTACATACCTCAGATTTTCTTAATCTTCTCGATGAGTATTTATTCAGCTCAGCTCAATTGAAAAGGCTTTGTTGGCATAAAGGTCTCAAAAAACAGAATTTCCAAAGCATCAGAATATAAATAGTAAACAGTATTATCTCGAGCCACTTTCTGTGTTATTGAAAGAGTGGTGCAGTTGATGTTGTTTTTGTTTTTGCATTTCTCTGCTTCCAGCTGCTTGCCGGAGCCAAAGTAAATGAGCTGACCAAACACAGGCAGACAGCACTACATTTGGCTGCCCAGCAGGACCTGGCCACTATTTGTTCTGTGCTGCTGGAGAACGGAGTCGAATTTGCTGCTGAGGATGAGAATGGCAATAATGGTACTCCACCGTCTTCAGTACCAGGCCTCTGTTTTTGTTTTGTTTTGTTTTATGTGTGGGATGCTTCTATTCAATAAATGGCACTCAGACTGACAAATTCCCCGTCTACATAATAATCTTATTGTGAATTAACTCAGACCAAAACATTTTAGTCTCCAACTGTTGCTCATTGAGTTTCCTTCCAAATACCAGTCTGTAGTCTTGCTAGATAAGCAGTGCTGGATATTACGCTGTTCAGCTTAAACAATCTGTTGCAGTTGTCGCTGTTTTATTCTTTATTACTCCACCGCCGCAGCATGTCGTGATACTTGTGAGTAACACAGTGTTCTCTGTATTTATTATTCTCTTTGTTGTTTTCTCCCCAGCTCTGCATCTGGCTGTGATGCAGGGCCGCCTTAACAATGTCAGAACCCTTCTCACAGAGTCCAACATTGATGCTGAGGCCTTCAATCTCAGGTACACTCAGCTTCTTTCACACACACACACACACACACAGGAATGGCAGCAGGAAGCAACTTCATGTTTTCACACCTTTTATTTTACACCTCCAGAATTATAAGTATCACAAAACTGAAATGCAGTTTCACAATAGGGCACCTTTAACAGTGTGTTAGATTTTTTTTTTAATACTTTAGGATGCAACAGTTAAAGAGAACTTGACAGACAACCTACTGCAGGCTTGAGTGTTAACCTGCCTTTTCATCTTATGTCCACTCAGGGGTCAGTCACCAATGCATGTGCTAGGCCATTATGGCAAAGAGAACGCCGCTGCCATTTTTGAGCTGTTCCTGGAGTGTATGCCTGAATACCCTCTGGATAAACCAGACAACGAAGGGAACACGGGTACAGTAGCTTAATTATTTCTTGTTTTAACAGTGCAGCATCACAGTGGACTTGCTATAGTGAGACTCTGACCTGTATTTTCTTGCAGTTCTACTCCTGGCCTACATGAAAGGAAATGCAAACCTGTGCCGCGCCATTGTGAGGGCTGGGGCTCGACTGGGCGTCAACAATAATCAGGGCATCAACATTTTCAACTACCAAGTTGCAACCAAACAGTTGCTCTTCCGCCTTCTAGGTAGGTTTTCATCCACCAGGTGTTCCCCATGTGTTAAAATGGCCCCGGATAAAGTGATGTGCTGTCATACAACACGTCGACCCTCGTGGTGATCTTCAATCAATAACTTGGGTTCTGAATTTCTTCAGATATGCTGTCCAAAGAGCCCCCTTGGTGTGATGGATCCAACTGCTATGAATGTGCTGCCAAGTTTGGTGTTACAACCCGGAAACATCACTGGTTAGTCGTATTTATAAGTACAATAAATAACACATTAATTAGCACTTGTTTTTTTCCCATTTTGTTTCTAACTATATCATTAATTTTCTCCCTCCAGCCGCCACTGTGGGCGCCTGTTGTGCCACAAGTGCTCTATAAAGGAGATACCCATCATCAAGTTTGACTTGAACAAGCCGGTGAGAGTGTGTGACATCTGCTTTGATGTACTAACTCTGGGCGGAGTGTCGTAATACTGTGGCCTGGATATCTTCCACCCTCTGGCTCTGACCACGCCAGGCTCTACATGGCACAGTTATTCAGGCACACCAGGAGAAGGGACATCAGTAGCAGGACATACTAACAAGAGATTCCCAGACAGTTATGGACCATCACCTTTATACTATTCCAGTCTATGAAAAACTATTAATGTTCTAGAGGGACGTTTTAAATAGAAAGTGAAACATTGTCTTTTCGTTTCTGTTTCGATCAAAGTATCTTAAAGTGGATATAAGTAGCTCTCCAGCTCGGTGACGGCTGGACAGAGTTTCTTAATTTCTCAAGCTCAGTGACATTTGTGCTGATTAGCTCTTACTATCACAGAGGTAGCTGTTGTACACAAGACATTTCAATCCAATGATATGATCGCCTTTGGAAGGGGTTTTCCTTTTCTCTGTTGGGATAGTTCACCGTCAGCAGGATTCCTGCTTACCTGCCCAAAGACCAAAATTCAATGCTACGAAATGAATCTTTACATACATATACAAGCTGAGGCCGCTGTCAACCGAGAACAGAATAAAACTGGGAAAAATTGCCTCCAGATCACAAGATCTACAAGGACTGAATTATCCATATGTTCTCTGTAATCCTACATCATTCACTCTTCCATCTGCTCAATTCTGTATTAACTGGATAAAATGGGACAGACAAGGAGGACTCGCAGGGAAAGCAACTCAACTTGCTTTTTAAAAGAGCATCATTTCCACATGAGATTGAATCTTTTTTTAATTAGATTCACATTTATGGCAAATGTATTACTTTACCATAGAGGTGGAAGGTGGTGCAACTGGACAAAGATGAAATGGGTTTGTTTTCACCACATTTGGTCAACGATGTATGGTGTGTAGGAATCAGCCACAATGAATGGAAATGCTCAGCTCTTGACATGGCAAGTTGAAGAAATGTGACCTTGAAATGAAAGCCTTTTTTTTTTTTAAACCATGAAAGGAATAGAAATGTAGTCCCCAAAACCAACTTCTGTCATCAATCCTCCTCAGTTACAGAAATGCCTATTATGCCTATGCATGTAATTTCATTTGTAGCCTTTTTATGTCATGGTTCTAATCATAAATCATACTTTAAAATCAGTCACCAAATGATTACATTCCATTTTTGACCTGCCATAAGGTCCTTGTAAGTAGTTCTGATCATAGCCCTCTCCCGCCCCGATGTTGCCTCATTCATGTCAAGTTCTTGTCTTGACCCATCATATGTAACGCTTCATGATTTCTAAGCCTAACAGGTGCACTTTATCAAGATCACATGACATTTCTGATCATTGGGGAGAATGTGGAGTCAGCAGAGGGACGGCCAGGTAGTGGGGCCTCTTTAAGTATTGTTAAATTGTACAGATAAATGTGTGATATTTTTGACCACTACAACTGTTTTGTACTTTAATGCAGTTTGTGCTTGTCATTGTGACAAACCTAAATCTTGCCTCTGTTAATCTTTTATGCACATTGTTTAATCTTTTATGCACATTGTATTGTATCTGTATGCTCAGATATCTAGCCCGTCTCTCCCTGGTGTATTCTTTTAGAGAAAGGGAGGACAACTTTACATAAAGGTCATCAAAAATCAATGCATTGGCAGTTCCTCATTTTGCCTCTTTATTGTAAAAAGAAAGTTTGGTGCTGTGATTTTTTACAAGCCAAAAAGTCTCTGTGTTTGCCTGAGTGCTGTGCTGCTAAAAAAACAGCTATGAATAGGTCCATTTTCCAGGCTGGCCCACAGATTAGTACTCTCCCACAGAGCATGAGTCAGCATGTGGAGGGCAGCTGTCATATTTCTGCAGATTGGGGTCTTCGTCTGCTGCAGATGGGTCTTCGACACAGACGCAGCGAACACTGCTGGAGCCCGGAGAGAAGAGCTTCCGCGGGACACCTTTCCAGTCTCGTACCACTCCTCCACTGCAGAAAAACAAAAAAAAAAAACAGTCCTGATGTAGATATTTATTTCACCCACTAGAGTAGGAAACGGTACAACATTGCAATCCTATGCCCTGTAGGCTTATTAATATTTGATTAGGCCAGAACTATTTCCATACCTCTTCGTGGAACACCAGACTCTTCCTCCCCTGGCAGCGCTCCATTCTGAGTTGCAGGCGGGGAAGCGAACCATCTCCGCTTTAGTCTGGGCCTTGATTCGCTGCCCCTCCGCTAGCGATGCCTCCACTTGCATCAGTGCCTGCGTGGGCTGCCCAGTCTCGCTGTAGAACCGGCCTATTACCATACCTGAAATTCAATGCAAGATATTTTACTGATGATGACGGATGGCTACTGACACAGAAATAATATAAAGCGTGCACGTCAGCGGTTATTAAATAAGGTAGCACATCCATCATGGGCTGCTGCACTTTAAAATACAGCACAGGCCGTAGTTCCACAAATTGAAGCTCTCCAGGATGTTTACATTTTGACTGACTGTGATGGATAAAGAGGAAAAATCAGCTCACACTGCATGTTCTGGAGATGTCCAACCCTCAGTTTGTTCCTCATGTCCAGTATTGCTATTACATTCAAGTTACACTGATCAACCAGAAACAACTGAACGTCATTTGCTGATCAGAATGTTTCGTTTCGACATCTTACTTCTGCTAAATTTTGTGCTCCCCATGTTCTGAAGCATGTCATTTCTTCAAAATCATGTTTGATCCTGATAAGTTTAGGAAAAATATTAAATATCTGGATGTTGTCAAAGGGAGTTTGTGTCTCCAGAGCCTCACGTAGGCTGCTGAGTGATCCAAAAATGATCCTAATGAGGAAATTTGTTGCAAGTAGTAGTAGTAGGTAAAATCAATACAATATATCAGCGATTTAAACATTTTGTTTTCACGCTGAACTTAACCTGACCTTTTAAGATGCCTAGAACTGCTGAGAAATCCTGTTTAGAGTCAATTTACATGTTGTACCAAAACTTAGAAAACAAAAACGGTCAAAATCACAGACCCACAGCCACGTAGTCTTTCTGATAGAAGGCCAACCAGTCGTAGAGCGCCACCACCTGCAGCGGGGACAGACTGGACACGTCGTCTGTCAGGCCGCTCTCTGTGAAGTCTCCAGTGATGAAGGCCAGAGAGGCGTCTTTGCCTAAAAGTACAAACACATATTTAGAAAAACACGGTGTATAGAATCCTTATGTACTGATAGCTGTTGTGAACTTATACTAGACTGGAATTTATGATGCTGAATTAGGTTTGTTGAGGGCTTGGAAGCATCCAGGCATCAGCATATAGCATATAAAAATATTTTTTTAATTATTGTTGAGCTGGTTATCCTTTTAGAGACCATAACACATTTATATAGAGTATTTATAGAGTATTGAAAATCCCTGGTCCATGGAGCGGTTCTTACCTCATATCAGCACAAGTGCTTCTAAAATCCTGCTCTTCCACATCCATATATTAGAAAAAAGGTTTTAGTTGGGGTTTTTTTGTTCAAATTAATAGATAATTCTCCACATGACTCTCGTGTTAACAAAAAGCAGCTGTATATTTATCATGTAAAGGCTGATTTTCCACTGTCAAAACATAAAAATCACTTAACTTGATTTAATTTAACCAGTGAAATAATCTCAGGTGTATTTACTGATAAGCAAGGCCACTATTATTAGGATGGAGATTGTGGGAAGGGAGCATCTTACCTATTTTGTGACCTGGTGTCTGAATTTAGTGTTTTTCTTCATATAAATAAAAACATTTCTAACATGCATTGATGCAACAACAGAAGAAATTGATGCATTAAAAAAATCCCCAGAATGTAGGAAATTAAGTGCTCGAAATTTCCTGGGGGAAAACCCCTTACTGTTCAAACTAAACCCACCCCCATGCATCCAGGACTGTCTAAGCAATTAACAATTAAAGCATTTAAAGAGCTCTGTGGTTTGATATTAAGTGACTGTAAGAGAAGCGGGGATCACCTGCCATAACGTGATAAGCACCACCAGGTCCATAGTGCTTGTGTCCCCTGCTCACATCAAACACCTGCCCCAGTAGGGCCAGGTACAGGCCCCTGCTGCCTTCCTCCCCGTCGTACAGAGACAGCTCACGCCTGCTCAGGAGCCTCGCTGAGGGCCCCTGGCTTGACTCACTTCCAAATGTAACGGACCAGTCGCGAGGAATGAACAGCACTGCCAGTAACACAGAGAAAAACGCGACCAGTACAAAGCTGAGCATGCTGTTCGTGGGGGATTTTTTTTTTGTTTTTTTTTGGCGTGTCATCTATTTACATTCCTCATAGTTGAAAAAAACAACGCAGGTGCTTCCGTGACAGAAACGCCACTGCGCATGCGCCAGCGGCGGTGACAGAGGACGTCGGGGCACGTTGACGTAGAGTGCGTCGATGCGGTAGTAGTGAGCAGTGGAGCTCCGCTGTAGGTGAACGGTTGAGAGGTCTGTTACAGACCGGCACGGCCGTGGCAAAACTGACACCCAGCGGGCCGCAGAGATTTTCGGGGGAGCCTTAGGTCGGTGAAACAAACATGGGGAACGCAGAGAGCGGCTGCGGTGGAGGCAGCGGCGACGAGGAAGACGTAGAAACGGAGAGCCCCGGCTTCGCGGAAGACAGTCCGGCCTCTGCGGCCACTGGCGGCGGTGTCGGAGGCGGTGGAAGCTCCGGGAGAAGCGGAAGGGGATCGAATAACCTACCCGTGCCCACCGGCGGACCACCTAGCCCGGGGGTCCTCTTGGAGCAGGTGAAACTCAGAGAAGCGGCGGCACGTATTAGCGACTCAGGGGTCGCCATTCACGAGTCTGTCCTGGCCGGGAACGAGGGTGTCCTGATGCGGTGGCTGGAGGACCGGTTGAACCGAGGAGAGGAGTCCGTCAATGTAGAACAATTTTGTGAGATGTTGGAGAGCAGAGACGCCTCGAGGGATGAGTGTGAAGAGGTATAATCCCACAGACAGAAGCAAACGTGCCTGTCGCCATGAGATAATGATTTGAAGTGTCATGTCTTTGCTTGTTGTTGAAGCAGGTAGTTGGTTGGAGCCGCTGGTAGCTCTTGTCACACCCATTTATGATGAGTAATTAGCAAATGTGATAGTGAGTCCATGCAAGGGGCAGAAATACTGCCATGTAATCTGTATGGCAATCTTAAAGATGTGCAGTGAATCAGAGAAACGAGCTGCCAGGATGTCACCGGTGCCTGTCAGGTTTATTGTCAGCTCTGGCCTCCTGTGACACAACACGTTGCTTTGTTGTCTGACATTTGTTTTTCAGCCAAAAGCTGCAGATGAATGGGTTAACTAATGAATGTGCACTTTAGTCTGCATTTGGCTTTGTGTAGGTAGACATGGAACACCAGTGCTGTGCTTCAAATACTGAATGGTGCATTAGTTCCTACAAACATCCAACCCTGCTCAGCATCCACATGTGGGCCTGACTTTATTATGTGAAAGACATACATAAATACATATATAACTAAAATATAATTGAAAAGGGTTAGGGTTAGGAGTCTGCTTGCTGTTTTTTTAGGCCTTTGTAAGTTTGCTCCTACTTTTCAGGGGTGAAATGGGCTGAATTCCCAAATCAATAAGGAGGAAATAAGAATTAATAACACTGTGCAGTTGTTTGCTGAATTTGTCATAAAACAGGCTAAGAAAAAAAAAAAAGTTTTCCTTTTGTAGTAGATCACACAGTTCTCCATGGGCCACGAAGCTTCATGCTCTTTTTGATTAAGCTGAATTATAATATGTAAATAATGATCATTTCTCATGCAGCAAAAACACCAACAGAAGAAAGTTACTTGCTGGACTTGAAGAAAAATATTTAAAAAACAAAATTATGAGCATACATATTCAAATCGAGCACAGTCATGACCCCGGACTTTATGTTACAGCACACTTATCAAGGAGTCAAAGGTCCTTTATGCACACTTGAGAACAATAATCTTTCCAGCGACTCTGGAAGTTAGCACATTTATAAACATACAAGGAGGACAAAGGGCTGTGGGAAGTATGTGAGATAGGAAAGGTTGACAATTAATCACATTTTTAGTTTAGAACGTCTACATTAATAAATACATTGTCGGTTCACAATCTAGAAATGTTTTGGCGTACTGACTATGACAGAGTGGAGTGACTTGTAATGTAATTTGCTCTGTAATGTGCTTTTCAGTTTCCTACCTTTGTCTGAAAAGCTTGGGGAAAAAAATGTCAGTTGGGTTTATTGTTTAGAAAAATTTCTAAGCTGTGTTGCCACTCTGGTTCAGGTTTCTTTGTCTAGTCTTGTCTCATAGTGATGGTGTCGCATAGTGTTTGTACGTGACACCATAGTACAATCAATCATAAAGTTAATAACAAGCCTTAAAAGTAGAGATAATCTTTAAATTAAGAATCCCACCTGTTTTCCCATTTGTGTTTTCAGAGTAGTGATATTGTAAAAAAAAAAAATTTAAGTGGTATGCAAGTATGGAATTGATTGTTCCAGTATATAAAGAGTCACCATGCGTCCAATCGTTGTCCCCTATCTCAGGCATTCGGACAGTTTGATGCAGAGGGGGATGGAGTGGTGGATGTAGAGAGTATGCTGATTGCTCTGAAGAACTCCAATGGAGCTAATTTACAAGGAGAGCTGAGTCATGTGATCCGACAGCTACAGGCGTGCTCCCTAACTCCAGGTATGAAGACTGATTTGTTTACGCGAGTGAACAAAGTCAAGCTTATTTGAATATGCCTCGCCTGCATGTGCCAGAGAAGATAACCCTGCCCCCATTTGTTTTCTTGTATTGTTTCCACAGGTTTTGTTGATATATTCTCCAAGACCAAAGACCGATTAGGAGCACATGCCTCTAAGATCCTTAAATTCTTACACAGGAATCGTATTCCCAGCAGTGCCATCCCTTTTCCTATTTTAGAGGGCTATAACAGCATCTGCACCATGAGGTCCAGTGTGGTCCAGGACTTCTTGGAGTTCCTCTTGCAGAAGGAGAAAGGTGAGCACCGCAGCTGGCTCGTGCTCGTTTCCCTCTAAGTTTCTAATGTTTTCTTGATGATTTTAAACGTGTCCTCATCTGCGTTTGTCCCTTTCAGATTTAGATATCCAGTACAGAGCAGAGCTTGATAGAGATCCAGATGTAGACAAGGTCAAGGTGGTCACACAGTGCTACAGCACAATAGAGGCCTCATCCAACGTTACTGACATTTACAAGATGACAAATGGGGAAACTGCGTCTTTCTGGCAGTCGGACGGCAGCGCTCGCTCGCACTGGATAAGGTACAACGTGACTTGAGCTTTCGCAGCTGATTTTTTTGTGTCTGAACCTTACATGTGGAGTCTTTTTGGTCCATGTGCGTTTTATCAACTTCAAGGTATAAACTTGTCTGTTTTCTGTTTCCAGGCTGAAAATGAAACCAGATGTGGTTTTGAGACGTCTGGCCATTGCCGTGGCTTCCAACGACCACAGCTATATGCCTCAGCTGGTCTCAGTCGCTGTGGGGAAAAACCGGCGTTCCCTGCAAGAGATCAGAGACATCCGCATCCCAAGCAATGTCACAGGCTACGTAGCTCTTTTGGAGAATGCCAACATCACACACCCCTGTGAGTCACCATCTGTCTGCTTAGTCACCAATGTTTGTAGAAAAAACTGTCCTTTTCATCTGTCTGCTGAACACAATGCATGGTGTCAGCAACAGAAGAGCTTTGCTTGGTTAATGGTAAGTGCCTCACTTCTGAGTCCACAGGCTCCTGTTAGCTTGGATTGAAGGGAACCAATAGTGTAGTTTTTTTTCAATCATCTGACTTAAGTCTTACAGGAATATCTACACCCAATAGACCACATATGCACCTTTTTAGAAGTTGTCCTAAACCTGCAAGCTTTTATTTATCTATAAGCTTTATATATGAATTAGGATGACATAATTTGAGAGCCACCTGAAGCATGCAGCTGTCAATAATCAAAAATTAGCTGAAAAGATGGTGACAAAATGGGCAGTGTAATTCTAACGTCACTACAGGCTGAATCGGTCGCCGTCCTGTATTTTGTGAGTCATGATATGCTTTGGGGCTGTGAATAAATTTCTAGATCACAATGACCACATTTCAAGTCATTTACCTCCCAGTGGTTGTTGGTAGATTCGAGTCTCCCTTAATGTCTATTTTATGTCCCTCTCAGAGGTTGCAGCAACCAACTGTGGCATTTTTGCGTTGCGTATTCCATCACTCAGCTAACCACATTATCTCTCCACCAAATCCCAGACATCCAAATCAACATTAAACGGTGCCTGAGCGACGGATGTGACACACGGATTCATGGCTTGAAGACGCTGGGCTATCAGATTACCAAGAGTAAAGAGGTGTCTGTTTCGGATGCTTCGGCCATCTGGTACCTGTCTCTCCTCACCTCTTTGGTCACGGCATCCATGGAGACTAACCCTGCATTGGCTCAGACTGTCCTTCAGAGCACACAGTAAGATTCAGTACTTATGATTTTGCATTTTATTGATGTGTCAGTTATTATCTGTTTGACTCCACTGTAATAATGTGTCCAGTACTTGAGTTCTAAGGTTTGTTTTTGTGTTGTTTTCGTCCTAGAAAAGCCTTACGACACATGCCACCATTGTCCCTAACACCGTCGTCCACAGAGTTCCCCAAGTTCTTCTCTTTGAACATCCTGGAGGAGGTGGATGGATTCCTCCTCAGGATAGCAGAGTAAGGAACTGCAGAGATTACATCATTAAAGTAACCCCTCGCTGCCACACTGAGCACATGATGCTGACGTCATCGCAGCGGAAGCAGGCTACAATCAAAGTGCTGATTGAGTGGAGCGACGAATATGCTATTTCTGTTCCATTTGATGTAATCGTTCCCTTACCAACGGCAGCAACATGACTGAAATAGTCATTATTAACCATCAAATAATGCAGTAGCTCATGGATGCATACATTTAGAATTCTTAAAGATTTAGTAGTCAGTATTTGTCTGTTAGTATTTCTTCTGCTCATAGTAGCTGAGAGAGATAAATTTTTATAACCAGTTTGAATGGAATTAATAGGGACCACAATCCACTGTTCTTGTTCTGTGCACTTTAGGTTTAGTTGAAGCTAATAGGAGCCTTAAACAGTCTAATGTATGTATATATATATATATAAAGCTTTGCAGCCAGTATGAACAGGATAAAGCAATTACAGGGACAAATAATGCTTTCAGTGTGCTCATGAAAATGTGAGCAGTGGATTAATACTGACCCAAAGCACCCTAAAGCCATTATTTAAAGTGTAACGTACATTCATGACCACATATGAAAGCAAAGGAGCTTTTAAACAAATCGTTGTTTAA